GCATTGACATTCAGGGGCTGATGCCGCCGGCTGCCCGATCATGCAGCAGGCGCCATCTATTTTGCAACAAAACAACAAGTAGAAGCGAGCCGTTTGCAACTTGTCTCACATCGTCTGGTTCACACGGCGGCAGTTAAAAAGAAGGGTAATTCATGTCATGGCTTCACATCAGTGATCATGTTTAGGCAGACAAACGATATTTGAATAAGATGTTTTTTCATGATTCTATCTACATTTAGATTGTAACAGTATGGTAGTTTGTAATATGGTCGATTGGTGATTTCTTTAGGTTTTTCCAGTGGTTGTGTAGATGCTGTTTCAGTGTCTGTAGTATGTATGAGTCTACATTTTAACCATACACATGGGGCAGAAATCTATTGCTGGACTGACCTTCATAATTACAAACTGCTGGCCGCAATTAGCGGGTGCTTTCTTCCTCAGAGAAGTTCACTGTTGATTATTCATGCAGGGGAACATTCTAGTCCCCTGATGAATCAGCTTTAGCTTTGGTTGTCAGCAGTGTAAGGCAGTTACAAAGATGTGACGTGTAGGTATAGAGGATTAGGAGTTGTTTTTATTTAAGGAGCCCTTTGTGGAATTCCGAGCAAATCCATGATTGAGGGATTGCCTCCACATGGCTCTCGAACACGACGATGGTTGAGCTTGTGGCTAAGAGCTAACGGTGTTAACAGCTCAAACGGTGCAAACATATCGGTTACCGGTGATAATCGCCGTATGAGGGCAGTACAGAACAGCGGCCATTAGCTAGCCAGGGAGGCACACAAACAGGGACTCACATGCACTAACATGCATGGCAGCCGGACCATTAATAATATGCTCCATTGATGCTCTGAATGTCATATAGAGAAGGCCCCTTTGACAGAACTGTGCTGTTGCTAACTGATCAGCAAGGTGATGTACTCAGGTTTCAATTAATAATTTATAATGAATTAATTGCAGTTTTCAATTCACTCAATTCAAATGTTTGTGGTTGTTTTGAAGTTTTAGTGCATTGTTAAATTACTGTGCAGAGAAACATGGAAGTGCAGGTCTTTTTCCTCAATGCAGTAAAAACTACGTTAACGATGACTCTGGGACATCTAAATGGGATTCCACCAATATTTAAGCTGAATCAGCTTAACTCCGCAACAAGCTGGACACACAGCTCTGACAAAAGAGGCGGAAAAAAAGCTCTGCGGAGCTGCGAAGTCTGGTTATAATTCTGTGCGTGTGCGGCAGACTCCTTTCTTATTATGCAGCATCATTTGATTGAGTGTTACTGTAAAAATATTGATTAGTGGAGCTTTAAAGTTATTAGTCACACCAGCGTTCGACAAGACACAATGTTCAATCTGAAGCGCATTGATCTCTTGCCACAAATATTGCCCACCCACTCATTAAACCGAAACTTGTGTGCATTATGGACAGTATATCACTTTCAAAGTAACTCCCGTGATTCTCATTTGAAATGACTGTCTTTGATGTAAACCAGTCCTTCCCTTCTTTCTGACCTTGTCGTTTCAGAGTGCTCATCATCCCAAGGTAGACCCATGCTGCCCGTGTAAACAGGCTATTAGATGGAGTATGGTGGAGGTTTTAGGGAGGCTGGAGTAATACCGTGGCGCAAAGAAACATCTCCCGCTCCCCTTTTTTTTATCACGACTGTAATTACCGCATTCCATTTGTCAAAGAAATAAACAATAACCGGCGCCCGCCCGCAGCTATCTGCTACCTCGCACATTGTCCTCCGCCTTCCTCCTCCTCTTCTTCTGTCTCTCTCTCTCTCTCTCATATTAATTCCTCCCTTTATCCTTACGATATATTAGTCTCTCACAAACACACAGAGGCTCGCTCTCACCAACACCGACCCCGCTCATTAATTCAATCTCTGGTGTTGATTTATTCTCTCGCTCATCGCACAAATCCAGAGTTTCTCCTTCACATTTCTGCGTCCATCTCCACTACTTGCTCCCCCGCTGTAGATGGGTTGACGGGGATGGTACTGTAGCTTTAGTTCAGCAATGGCCCGAGAGCCTTCCTCTCTTCATCTTGGAGATAATGATAATGCTTCAGGGTGAGCAGACCCAACTCATCGCAGCCTTTTATTGCCTCAACAATGAGAGCGTAAGGGCTTAGAGATGACTATTACCAAAGAGATACGGCATTAGATAGCCACGTGTTTGAATCATTGGCACACCAGAGTCGATGGACAATAGAGATTTGCAGAGCAGGAGATAGTGATTACATTTAAAGTGGTGATCTGCGAGAGTTTCTTTAAATTTTCTCCCAATTTGTTTTACAGTAAAAGCTGTTTTTGATGGGTGGATTTTGTAAATTGCTCAGTGAGCTTTATCTCCCTTACATTATAATGGACCGGTGATGAGTATCACAGTTTCCTGGTTTCCGATTGTGTGACGCATTTGGTCAAAGAAATGTGCTCGGATTCCGCGTTTCGGGGTTTCACAGCTAATTGGGAAAAAGACAGATTATCATTGCGAAAGAGGCTCAATCTCTTACACAGCAGTTTCTTTTTTTTTCAGTCCAAGCTTTGAATATTATCAACATCAGAGGGGCATTGTTGCTGGCTCCGGCTGTGTAATGTCAAATCGATACCCGGTGCGCTTCGGGTTTCACAAATGAAAAATACAAGCAGATTTGATCAATGTACAAAGAGGGATGTATGACTGGAGGCTCGTACTGCTCTCGTAATACAAGACGGATCCATAGCGCAGCCTCAGTAGGTCGAACAGACGATGTTAATCTGTGACCGGCACTTAGTCGGTGCAGGTTTGACTCATTTTTATTGACTGATGAGCCAGACACATCTTTGAGCAGGACTCCTGCTCTCTTTTAAATAGCTGCATGATTAAAAAATGTGCACAATCCTTCTGAAGTGTCACTCTCCTGTCAGGAAAAAGCTCCGAATGCCAGATTACACTTCAGTGACATCAAATGTGACTCAAATCCATGTGGTGCTGATCTTCGTTTGGAATAACATGCATCTCATCTAGCCTACTGGTTTCAAGGGGACTTCCACACACGTGTGGAGTGGAAAATATTGTGACAGTCATGGCATTGAAAATGCAGTTGCTATTATTTTCATGGTGATGGAAGAAGCTCTCATTACCGAAACATTAGTTGACTTCATCCACCTTATGTGAAATAGGTTCAGTTGTGGCATTTGATTTTTGGTAGCACATTTTCCTAATTCATTTCTGTAAATCAATTCTTGGCTATTTCTCTTCCCTTCCCCGTACTGTTAGTCAGAGCTGCCACTACTTATCTTAATGTAAATGTAGTCTGAATGTCAGTGGAGAGGAGAGGAAAAGATGACTTATAATCTTTGTTTTCCTTGTCATACAAACGTTTATTTTTTCCTTACCAATGAATGATGGTCGAACACAATTGAACATGTTTGTTTGATGGCATTTGAAACCACGCCACCATCACTGATTGTACACCGTTAAGACAAGACGATGTAACATGTAACACCTGTAGCACACAGCGGACACGTTCTACAAACAGATGAAGTAGTTCATAGTAGACAGCATGTGCCGGTCCAGAGAAGACTGCTGCTCCTCTGGTGAGTTGTGCGATGATTTTGGGAAGTAGGACATGCGTTGAATCGGGGGTTGAAACCTACACCACATAAAAAAGGTTCTATTGTTTTAGCACAAATGTGCTAGCTGTGAACCGCTACTTTGAGCAAACAGCATATGCTGACGAGGAAGACTGCCTTGTGTGGTTGAAAGCTCCAGAAAGATTCATTAAATGGACCTTTTATTTATTTTAACATGTAAAGGATGAAAGCAAATGACTTCGTTCACTGTGACATTATCCTTTTTATTTTTTCATGAGCAAAAGTAACATAGTATCGATTTGAGCGTGCAAAAAAAAATCCCTAAAAAGTTTCCTTCTCGTATGAAATAATTCCCTGCTGAGCTCCACTCAAAGAGGCTCGCCTTCAGTTTGATGGCTACACTCGGGTCTGTGGTTTGAGTTGGATGGTTAGGAAAAGGGTATTACAGAAATACATAGAAAGGAAAAGGTTATGCAAGTTAGAGGATTTTCCTAGTCCGACAGTTACCAGTTTCCAAATTTAGGGATGCCAAAAAAACTTCAGTATACCCATGATAACTGACATTTACCATTCAGCTTGAGCCTATTTCCAAGTTTGATCCCTGTTCCACTGTCGGTTCAGATGTGTCCCAGTCAAAGGAGGGGCTTCAAGAACTGATGGACAACTGACAACTTGTGTCCCACAGTTATGTTTAGTTGTAAATATATCCGTGTAAGACAGGGAAACCACTGACGAAGACAGAAACATGTACCTGTTGTAAAACACGAAACAATAAATGTAACTTTCCCTCTTCATAAATGCGACTGAGTATTCGTGAGGAAAGGAGATGTGTGGCTCCCCTTTAAGCTAAATATCCAGGGTTCCTTTGTGCATTGTGGGGGTGACAGCTGGTCTGCTGGGTTTTGTTTTTATGGTTTTGTGCAGCTTGATGGGAACCAAAATGTTCCAAATGTGGGTTCAGATTCAGCTCCAGCTGCACCTGAATATAACACTCACTCTGTTCAGGTTCGGTATCGTCGGCTAATTACAGATTGTGCAAATAAAGCTATGTAAAAGGATTTACTTAGCTCTCACGCTATAGGTTATAAGGTGCTGGTGAGTAAAGTATTTTCAATGGATTAGTGAATATGAAGCTCAAATATTTGCTTCGTGGGGTCACCAATGCGAAAATGTCTACATCATTTCATGGTTTCCTGTATCTAACTCCTGTATAACTCTCCTGCTGGTTCTGGGTCTAGGAATCATCCTGATCAGATGCCCGAACCACCTTAACTTGCGATTTAAGATAATAAAATCACAATAAATGTGACTTCTATCCATCAGGAACAAACGTCATATCTTTGGTGTATCTGACATGTTTTTAAAAAGGCAATGATAATGACATCATGTGTTAACCGTGTCCCCTTCTGTGTCTGTCCAGCCATGTTCACAGAGGTGCCTCATGATATGACTGCTCAGAAGGGTCAGGATGTGGAGATGGCGTGCTCCTTCAGAGGGGCGGGGACGCCCTCGTATTCACTGGAGATCCAGTGGTGGTACATCAGGAACCATCTTGACTGGACGGACAGACAACCCTGGACCACCAATGAAGTAGGTTGATAGCAGGAACTCTGCTGCCTTTCTGATCTCTTTTGCAACACCTGTAAATGAACCATCCATCAATCAGCAGCCTCTATTTCATGCTTCAGCTTCATTTTGGGGAGAATCCAAGGTCAATTCTTACAACACCTTGTTCTAGTGTTACCTGCATGGGTTCATGTGGATTTATCTATTGGTTGACACTTGTGTACATATTCTATAATATGTCTATAACCCCATTATAACTGTAATCTAACTGCAATAATAAATTCTTCAAATATTGTTCTAGGTGGCTCCTGAGGAGGAGATGCCAAAGGATGCTACAAAGATAAGTGTGAGTAAACCACTATCTCCTGTCATTCTTGTGAAACAAAGCCTCATATTTGCGGTGGTGTTATATGATGAAATGAGGCACTAAGCCCTCGTGATTAAATTAAAATGTCTTCTTCCAGGTGTTGTACTTACAAGGATCTCTTTTTCACCCAGTGCTGTTAATGCCCCAGACGACGCATCAACACATTCACTCCTTCCTTGACGGGTTTGCAGAATCACAGTGTGAGCCAAAGAGCGGGGGGGTTTCTCAGATTCTCATAAACGCCCCCTGCGTCCTTATGACTTCAACACCGAATCCAAATAATAAACCGTGAAGGGGACAAGCTGGGGAAGTCAGCAGAGCTTTTTATATATCTCCTCCTGTATCCATGTGCGTGTGTGTTTGTGTGGGTGGAGCCCGAACACTGCAGGCTATACAGCTGGGAAATGATGATGAGCTTTCTCTATATAATGAATGTCGGCCCACATTCATATAGTGCAGCAAAAACACGCAGACACAAACTGATGACTTGTGCTACAAAACATCATTAAGCTTTCACATACTGTCAGTTTGTGGTGGAAAAAAACGATTCAATAGTACCGAGTGAGTCCTATGATACTGAGATTACGAAACATTGAGAAAAAAGTTTGTCTTTAAAGTATTTATTCTCTGCACAGAGAAGGTTCAATCGTCATACAGGAGGAATGAACCCAGAGTGTTGGTTGTGTACGACTTATAAAGGCCTTGAGCACATGGTGGGATAGGAGGAGTTCATCACGAGCACATCTGGACCACAGTGACCAATCACTGATTAACCATTGAATGGTTAATCAGTGATTGGTCCACTATGAAGCCCCTTATCTAAGTTGACAATATCATGCCCTTGATTAAGACACACATCCAATATTACTGAGAGGACCCTTACTGACCATGTCTGACTTGTATTAACCTATCAAAGAGTGGTCAGAGAATAACACAGATAGATAAGTCACAGGGGAAATTTGCCGTCACAGGCAGGAAGGTGGGTGATAAACAAAGTCGTATTTATATCTTGGTACGTCACACGTCTCGATGTCCCCAGACTCTTAGCTTCTCTGTGATGTGAACTTGCAAAGCTTTTACTTCCAAGATGTGGTATCTTTGTACTTTCAAGGCCCAAAATAGATTTTTTTTAAGCAGCACCTTTGTCTGAGAGTGTGTGCGTGTGAATGGGAGTGATGGGCTGGGAGGAGTGTATCCAGGCTATACATAACATCTAGTATACTGTGGCTCTTATATTTTGTGTTTGTATCTCTCTATCACTGTCTACATACATACATGTTAAACCTAATTTCATCTTAAACATTGCCAAGCCCAATTCATAATAGGCAGCTGTAAACCTTTCATATATATTTTTACTGAACTTGTACGCACCAACGACACTAATACCATTAAAGGAAACGTATGTTTTGGGGAACACTCATTTGCTTTCTTGCTGAGTTGGATTAGAAGAGACATTGATACAACCTTTTGACAGACAAAACACACAAACTCAAAAGCACTTTAAAAAAAAAAACACATTCACACTGTTTCCTCCTGCCTCCAGTCTTTATGCTAAGCTAGGCTAACCATCTCCTGCCTGTAGCTTCATAGTTGATAGACAAACATGAGTGGTCGATAAGCACATCATTATTTTTGCATTACAGTTAAAGTCAGCAAAGTATATTGTATGATTTTTATTTTCTAATAAAAATACATACTATAATTTTTTAAATAAGTTTTTACAACATTAGACTATTTTTTCTTCACTTTTTTTGAAATATGACTTTTTATGACTTTTACTGACATATTGTGACCTTTTATGACTTTTTTCGACATCCTTTCCTTTACTTTTAATGGCATGTTATCATTTGAGTTCTTCCCACTGTTTTGTCATGCTATACTATGACTTCTTTATGACTTTTATTAACGTGCTATACTATGAATTTTGTCGACATACTATATACTATGACTATTTTATTACTTTTTTCGACATACTTTTCACTGTATGGCAAACAGACAACAGTGAATGGACCCAAATGCGGACAGACACATGGAGCAGAAGGATGATAAACGGTGATTTTAATAAAGAAATGTCCAAAACAAAACTTACATGCCAAGTCAGTCCAAAACTTAATAACTGAAATCCAAATTAACAGAATCGTTCAAAATGACATATAAAACAGTATGAGGTACAAAAGATAACTGCACGAAGGATACAAACAGGAAATATCATGAGAGAAACCTCTCCTCAACGGATGGATCCCAGACGTCCTAACAGTCAAACAAGGCCTGTAGGGTGGGGGGAGGGGGTCCGGAGGAGGGATGTCTTGGACAAAGTGGCCAGAGAGCTGAAGAATGGGGGGGGGGGGGAGGAACCTCAGACTCATGGTCTGGGGCCTAGGCAGGCAGAACCCCAGGGCGTCCAGGAGGACAGCCAAACGGGCTGAACCATCCCCCATCAGCAAATTACTTTATTCCATCATGCTATACTATGACTTTATTCCATCATGCTATACTATGACTTTATTTCATCATGCTATACTATGACTTTATTCCATCATGCTATACTGACTTTATTCCATCATGCTATAGTATGACTTTATTTCATCATGCTATACTATGACTTTATTCCATCATGCAATACTATGACTTTATTTCATCATGCTATACTATGACTTTATTCCATCATGCTATACTATGACTTTATTTCATCATGCTATACTATGACTTTATTCCATCATGCTATGCTGTGACTTTATTTCATCATGCTATGTATACTGTAGCGTCATGTGAAGCAACGTCTGTTTCTGATGACAGCGGCCGCTGATCACAGCTGTCAGTCAGCTTTATCAGCTGGAGAGACTTTTGACAGTTTGTACCTTACACATGATCACAGTACTTATACTAATAAAGACAGTTATCATCACTGCCTGTTATCTGTTTCACAAACTGCATTGAGTATTTATACTGTGTTCTGTGTCCTGTTTATAAGCGCAGAATACGTTTGTCATATTTACTAATTATTTGCGTCTATATGTTTTGAAATTCTGATTGTGAAGTCATTAAATAACCCAGAATATGATTATGGTTTCTCTTGAACACTGGAATTAATTTATTAGGCTCCACGTTTCGGGGGAAATTGAAATGATATAACTCATCAAACCCAACATTCAGGAATGATCAGTCCCACGTGACTGAATGGAAATGATGACAAATGATGTAAAAAGTGTTTCCTCTCTCCAGCTCTCTCTGACTTTAATTGTCTCCAGAATAAAAGTTATTGAGGGATCTGAGGGATCAGATCATGAAAAGACAAATCTTTCTAATAAATGAAGAAAGTTATTTGTGGTCCTTTTGTTGTTCAGACCTACAATTACTATATATTTAAACCAAATGGTGAATCAGAAAATTAATCAAGTATAAAACTTGAGTTCAATCTGTAAAATGTCTTCAATCTGGTAAGAAACTCCAGTGATCTTGAGAACAATCAGATCAGTCCAATCAGCTGCAGCGTCCAATCAAATAACTGATGAATGAAGGGGGCGTGCCGGCCGCTAAAACACTTCCTGGAAGGCTGCTCCCGTGCATCCTCACTCTTCAGCAATCCCTCCTCGCTCCTCAGAGCAGAAATAAGAGCTTTGGGACGGCGAGGAAATGTCAAATAAGAGACTTGGGATGTACCCTATGACTTTTTTTCGACATGCTATACTAAAATACATGTTGCATGGCTGGGAACAAAACAATAATGCACGGGAGCGGAGAGCATCTCGCCGCCAGAAAGGTGGAGCTTTACACCGGGCCCAGGTGCCTCCAATTAGTGCAATCAACACCTCCAGGTACCTGTTGCATGAAAGAGACATACTGTATACAAGTAAACAAGCCAGCGGACCGTCACAGCATACTATACTATGCATTTTGAATGGCATTTTTATGGCATATTATACTATGACATTTCTGCGACATACTATAGTATGGCATTTTAATGGCATACTTATGACATACTAGAATATGATAATATCTGATGTAATTTATGACAGTTTGGCCATTTTGTGGCTTCTATGCTTTGGCATTTTTATGGCATTCTATATTCAAAAGTTCTATTGGCATAGTATATTATGACATCTTTAGGGCATAGAGTATAACATTTTCTATGACATACAATAGTAATACTTTGTTATGGCATATATTACTATGATTTCTTATTATATAAACATTTTTATGACATACTATGTTATAATTTTTTTTCATGAAATACTACATAACATTTTAATGGCATACTTTTGACTGAAAATCCTATGTCACACTATACTATGACATGTTTTATAGAATACTATACTATGACCTTTGGTCATTTTTCTTATGGTCATTGTACTTCATCAGGTACATAAAAAAGGCTACCGACAACATTTACATGTTAAACTGATGTTGTTATAACAGTTGCTACTGGGGGTATGAATCATTGGCTTAGCAGCGATTTAACTGATGATTTAATGGTTAGTATGAGTGGGACTGATTTTCCTGTAGTGCTTCATTGCACATTCGCATTACGCACTCTGTCTGCCATGTTTGTTTGTTGCGTGCAGCGTTAGCGGTGTTAGATTATGGGGTGTTCATCATGGAAGAAATAGACCTGATCACAAATGCTGAATTGTGTTTCAGGAATACATTTATTTCCAATTAATGGTTTTGTTCCGTTGCCATTTTGAAGCAACATTGAAAATACCCACCTGTCCTCTCCTGGGGCCATTTACGTCTGTCGGATATGATAACGTTTCAAGGTTTTTGCTTTAAACGAGAGTACATTAACTTTTGAAAGAAGAATTAGGTCATTCCTCCTCTTCCAAATAAGTGAACAATAAAATAAACTCTTGCTCAATTTAATACACTCAAAGGTTTTGCCGCCACAGCTTTACGTGGTGTGATATGACCAGTAGCTTATGGTGGCTAATGTTGGCAAACTTTAGATAGCTTTGTAACTGATAATGTCACTTTAATTACTTAAGATATCCTGGTATTGACACAGCAGTGGCCACTCGGCAAAAGTTGCTACTTTCTAACTTTTCTCTCTTTATTTCGTCCACCGTTGCCAGGTTGTGAAGGTTGTAGGAAGCAACATCTCGCATAAACTCCGCCTCTCCCGGGTCAAGCCGTCTGACGAGGGCACCTACGAGTGCCACGTTATCGACTTCAGCGACGCCGCGGGTGCCCGCCACCACCGCGTCAGGGCCTACCTGCAGGTGGTGCCAGAGAGCGACATCCCCACCAGCAACCGCAACGACAACTTCGAGGCCCTGGACGACACCAAGGGCGACGACGCCGAGTCTCACGCCGGCGCCAAAGAGCACGCCCACGGCCATCACCAGAACCACGGGCACCACCAGGAGAAGGGCAAGCGGCCCTCGTCACCGGCCCACCACGGCCACAGCCACAGCGGCAGCAGTCAGCAGCAGAAGGCGGGCAGAGAGCTGAGGAAGAGGGACGCGGACAGTAACCGCAATGACTGCACCAACGAGCCGAGCTGCGCGCCGTAGACGCTGGCTCATTACACCCGAGTGATAGATTACGCGAGGATTGCGTAACGTGACGCGTGTCACAGCATGAAAAGCTATTCTTCCCACACAGCTCCAAATCGAGAATCTCTAGAAATGTACAGTGTAGGGCTTGTTCAGAGCACGGTGCTGTAAAATGTGCTGGGAAATGTAGCTTTTTCCTGCTGTGCGTGGGTCTGTCAGTAAAGGCTTGCTTTACGACATTCAGCAGGGGGTGTGGGGTGGGGGGGGGGGGGGGTCACTTGTCTTGCTATTTACCCATGTTCCACTCTTGTACTTTAGATACTGTAAATGACAACCCTGCTTTCAGGCTCATACTTCTTCCACTGCCTTACTCTCTCATTTGATACACACTCAGTATATTCGACTTTTTGTAACTGGGTCTGTGCCCCAGTGCGAGCAAGTTCCTTTTATTCTGAGGGTGCACTGAGTGACATCAAACCAGTCAGTAATTCTTCCCTGGAAATCTTGTCGGAGATTGCAAAATCTGTGTGCATCCGAAATTCAGCAATTTATTCTGTGTTTACTCCCGGAGGGGGGGGGGGGAGAAAACATGCTTCCTTCAGCAGAAACTCATCAAGGACAGATACGGCCTCAATTCATTCGTGTTGGAGTAAACACAGTGGCAAAAACAAAAAATCCCAGTGTGGGATTTTTTGTTTCCCCACATTTGTGCGCAATTCAAACAGAGCACATCACAGGCTGTGTTTTCACCCCACCTGTTTTGGAAAGCCATGAAAGAATCAAAATCTGTGCCACTAAAAGAATCTGGCGTGCCTCTGAATCCACTCTGCGACAAGAAATCTACGGGAGAAATGTGATCTTGGTGCAAGATACTTTTTTGGAAGAGTAGTGCTGTAGTCCTATCCCAGCTTTAGTTCCCTTATTCCGATGCTCCGGCCCAGCGCTCAATCATTTAACAAGCCTCAATCCTCTCCACTACAAGCCTCTAATCCGCTCTGTATATATGACTGTATAATGTGAAATAAAGTGCATGTTCAGACATTTTCTTAAAAACTTTTTCAACCAACCATACACAAAGACAGTGTGTTAGTTAACATTTGTTTTCATTTATTTGTTTGGTTCATTTAAAAAAAAAAAAAAAGTTCTGAATCTTAATTTCTTTTTTGGAAGTCTTGTCCAATAGAAATTTTATTTACTCAGCAGCTTTCAGTTGCTTTACTGCTCTCCAGAAGTGCTGTACAGACAGATGAATGACATGTTCTCTTCATAGCTGCTCAGAAAGGGGTTTCCCTTTATGTATCTTAGTACTTAAGCAGTGTTTCTCAAAACTACTGTGCTGTATGTGCAGGGCTGCAAACATGAGTGTTGCCGTGTTTTAATGAGCTTTGAACATAGGATTCATTTTGTGCAGTTTGGGACTGGGTGTGTGTGGGGGCGGGGGGGGGGGTCTGAGAGGATGTGAGAGGCTATTTCACCTCTGTCAATTTTGTAACTCGATGAGGATCTCTTGGTTTAGATGCTTGCGTGAAGTGCAGGGCAACGCTTCGCTCTGAGGGGATCTAATGGGACAAGGTGAATGGGGGTCACGTTGTGGATAAAGGCCCCGGGCAGCGAGGGGCGAGAAGTAGGAGGAAAATGTTGTTAGTGAAACACTGAAATTGTCTGTTCACACTGCCTCAAAATACAGCCTGTGTCTCAAGGCCATGCGGGGGCTGTACTTCTCCGCTGTGTTATCCATCAGACGAACTGCAGCGCTCCTGTTATCGTTGCCCGGTGGACTGGCAGGATGCTTTACTAACAGGGGAGTCATCAGTGGGATTGTTTTTTTTTTTTTTTCAATAAGTAACTTTGATTTGATGTTTTGTAAAGAACAGATCACTGTAAAAAAAAAAAAAAATACTAAAAAAAAGAGGTATAATGTACATTTCTTCTAGAATGTTCGGTCTCACACTAAGTGTATGGCTTTATCAAATGAAATAAATTGTATATGAAACATCAGTGGACATTTTTGCATTGATTTGGAGGCGTGAGGGCAGAAGCTACAACCAGCTTAGATTTAATTTAGAGCAGGGGTCTCAAACTCAAGGCCTGCGGGCCGAATCCAGCCCGCCACGTCATTTTATGTGGCCCGCGAATCCGCCAGCAAAAAAAAAAAAAGTTTAAAAAGTTTAAATAAAAAAATAAATAATTAAAAGTTAGACTTGATAATAAAAATATCCCCTTGTCGAAATGATGAGATAGAAAGTCAAAATGATGAGATACTTAAACACAGTCATAGAAGCAGCTCTTTGGCTGGTTACCCTACATGTGTACATTGAAGATACTTTAAACGTGGCTTTACAACACATGAAATACTTCACGTGGGATTGTGCAAACGCACCCTTGAAAGGATTTTAAGCTTTGAACAAATAACTTGTGTTTGATATTTGTCTTTGATATTTTCTTTAACAGTTTGATCTTTGATAGAGTAATCTGGGTTTCTTAACCCTAAATTAAAAGGATTTAAGTTAGAATAACAGAAATGTGCTTAAATATATTTTTACATTTATAAAACTGCATGTACAATATTTTAACACTTGAATAAACAATAGTCTTACATTTACAACCGGCCCTTTGAGGGCGACCGTGATGCTGATGTGGCCTAGAGTGAAAATAAGTTTGAGACCCTTGATTTAGACCCTCCTGGGCGCTCACTATATATTTATATCTAAAGGGTTATTGTACAGTGCTACGTCAGCTATGGTTTAGCTTCTGGCCCCCTGCTCTCTGCTCTGTGTGTGTGTCCGCATGCATAAAGGAGAAACAGTATCAGGCAGTTGCCTGTGTGTAATAGGTGCTGCCAAAGCCCCCACTTCCATTGCTGCTGATGACTAATGGTGCTATTGTCAGCACTGGCAGCAGGATAAATAGCAACAGCGCAGCATGAGATAAAGAGGCACTGTGCTGCGTTCGCTAGCATTAAGCCGGGCCAGCCACATTCAAAACACGTGGCGATCTTAAGGCTCACACATTCATTATGACGGGCTTCTCCCGTCAGTGAGGTGATGCGATAACGGAGGGGGCTTCCTGTTCCCTTCATTTAAACATCCCTAGAACCCTGTAGGGCTCTAAATGATAACAGGTACAATGATAGATGGGCCACTATCCCCGTCGTGAGGCGTTCATTTCCCCCGTAGTTACACAACCTGGTGCACCCGGTTCCCTTCCAGCTGACGCATCTCCCTGCTGAAAGCATATGGGATGTGGGTGGCAGGATAGCTCAAGGGTTAGTGAGGGCATCTTCTAATGGGCAGAGTTCCTCCATCCTTTATAGAGCTTCACCGCCATAGACTTCTTACAGGATGAGTCTGGTTTTACTCTACTCTTATGACAAGCAAATCTCAAAACGTCCCGACTTCCCGACCCTGTTTGTGGCACTTAACCTCTTTGCCCACTGGTTCCTACTGAATGTGTACATCTTTAAAAACAGGGTCAATCCAGGGTTTGTTGACAAAATTAAAAGTATAGAATATTACCAGCCTTATCCTTTAAAATACCTAACCCAGATGAGCTGAACTAGATACTCGGTAATTAAAAATACACTATTTTTAAGACATATCTAGAAAGGCTGAGTGACATTTTAAATGTTTTTTTTTTGAGAGTGGGAAGGAAATAATAATGGGGGTGGGGAATGGGGTAGCTGGGGGGTAGAAGCATAGACTGTACATAAGTGGACGTAGTTACCGTGACGCCAACCATTGGTTTGTGGAGTAGTGCTGTGAAGCCTTGAGTTTGCCATCTTGTTTGTGTTATACGAGAGGGTGGAGCTACGTACAATCCAACGCTAAATAAGACATTTTTAGGTGACCAAAATGTTACAATTAACTTTCATGAACTGAAAACTCGCCGTGAAAGAGTTAAAGTTGCAAGACGAAAAAACGGACAACTCACAATCACGGCCTGTCAAACACAAGGTAGCCCCGCCCTGAAGCGTTCCCTGCTTTATTGTAATACTTACTCTAAATGGACCATCATTTACTAAATGAACATCCTGCTGTGATTGAGACCATAAACTCATGTTTACTGAGGTAATACATCAAGTGAGAAGTAGAGTCATTTCCCATTGACTTCTATACAATCTATAAACCGAAACCATGTGCACAGTGCTCCGTATTGACAGGAAAGAGGTAGAGGAGAAAACGGTGAATCAGCTGTGTAACATCGGTGGAGATCCTCCAAGACCAAGAGCCACGTGTTTGGAACACTGCCTCCAATGCAACACAACTGCTGACAGTCTCGTCTGAGATTCAGTTGTGTCATGCCCGTAGCGGCTAACGTAGCCTTGAGCGGCTAAACGCAGGCAGAGATGAGGCGCGGGCTGCAGAGGTCTGGTAAACTCACTTCTTTTTAACTCCACACCCCCCCGAACTTCTTCCTTTGTAGTCTTCAACCCCAACCGATGCCGACTCAAGTGACATCGCCTGTAGGCATCAGACTTCACAGAGCTCCCTCTGGAGCCACAAAAGGCTTTATACAGCTTTCTTCACATATTCAGGAGTCGTCTCCAAGACCTGTCAGCAGCCTTTGATGTGTAAAATCGGTGGAGTTCCCCGTTAAGGACTTTAAAGTAAAAAGATCATGAATCTGGCCAGACATTTGAGCTTTTCCGTACTTGGTGCTAAGGACACGTTTTAGTTGACACCGATAACATGCTTAACGTTTGACAGCAACATGACAAAGTACTTTAAATAGTTTGAGTATTTGATGATCACTTTAATTAAGAGTGTTTCAGGGTCACAACAAAGCGTTCTATCTGGGTCACCAACAGCCAAGTTAATCAGTATAAAAGTCCCAGAACAGCATAACATTTGCATACGTATATGTCTATATATTCACATGGAATGAAAAACATCTGCACTGTGCCTGCATGTCTCCTAATGTAGAAGAGCTGTCGCACGTGTTCCTGCTTTCTGCACCTGCAGCAGGAGAGGCAACTGCAGCAGATATGCTCCATTGATATTTTCCTTTCGCAGCTCGCTGCTTATCAGAGCCATGCAGAGCATGAAGGTTATCGCAGTGCTGTCTCGATGGCTGTCTTTTGGCACAATTGTCAGATTTTTCTTTCAGTGAACTGACTTGTTTGAGCTAGCGGTTCAACAGGCCGTCGGCGTGAGGCATGATTCGATCGCATCAATCGCTAGCTCGTTAACTGGCTGTCTCGGCAACCGAGCCAAACTCCTCCCTCAGCAGTTTCAGCACGTTGTCGGAGTACTCGTCCCTCGGTCGACCCATTCCGCTCAGATGCACAGGCTGGAGGTCCGGGTGGGGCGGGATGTAGGAGGAGGGGCAGTGCAGCTCGTTTAGGGTAAACCAGAAGGCATCCGGATCCACCTGGATCAGATGTTGGAAAACGCTATGGAGAGGAATGGAAGATGCAAGGGAAGAGGATTATCTCTGGGCTATAATATATATATATAAATATATATAAACACCTTCCTGTAATACAAAGTGACAAGACATTAAATACGCATACACACATATAGAGAGAGAAACCCTGGCTCCTCTCTCACCTCCGCAAAGCTGACCAATCACGTCGCGAAGTGGGTGTGAGTGTCGGATCATCGGGCCAAAAAGAACCAAATCGTCGTAACAAAGACACACTTAGGAATCTGTCTTTGCTTTTCTTTTTAATTATGGTGCGTGTGTTGCTTCCCACAGGGATAATATACACAGGAGGTCTAATGCAGAAACAATGACATTCCCAATAGATGACCTGCATATTCATGACATTTACAGGAACGTTGTAGGTTTACTACGAGCTGAACTCGAGCAGCAAGTAAATCAATCAGTGTACGGTCTTAAATTGACTTCCACCTAGGAACATGAACATTTCTTTGTGTCCTTTACAGCACTCACATATTTGATGTGTGCATTTTAAATGTATTGCACGGCTTACAGACACTTAAATATGCGAAGCTACTTTGAAGTGAACTCAGCAGAATATTCAGCACCATGGACGGCCAACATTAAGAAGCTCATCCAGGCGTGTGCGCGCACTCGCACTCTACCTTATGTACTGTTGGGTAATTTAATCTATAACAATACAACCCAATGCGTGATTGTTTTATATGTAAATACATCAGCAGAGTAACTACAGCAGTCAAACTAATGTAGTGAAGTAAAAACTATAATGTATAGTATTAGATGGAAGGACTTGGATAAGGGCTCACCTTCGGCCGGCCTCCTGCAGTCTGATTGGTTGTCTACAGCTCAGGTAGGGCAGGCAGGCCTCACAGACGGCATCCAGGTCGGCATCGCCTGAGAAACCCAAACACAGAACCATCGTCTTTTAGAGCCCAAATGTAAAATACATATATATTTACTTGACATACCAATATCGTACACATCAGAAGGAAAATACAATCGTATCAGGAAACAATCGGCCACTATCAATATCAACTCTATATTCCCTTTCCTTAAATCCACACGATCAAACACTCGAGATGTAATCACAGTTCCCCGCGCACGGCGTAGCATGGTAAGATGGGGAAGGGAGGAGGGAGAGGGATAGAAGAGAGCAGGGGGGGAGAGACATAGATCTTGCCTGGACTCTACCTCTTCTAACTCCTAATGAGCAGAGAAACTGCTGAGATGGCCGAGGAAAACATTTCACAGCAGGCCGGTTCCACATCTCTGGATTTCAGACATTCCCCCCCCCCCCTTTTGAGGAGTGGATGTGTGTGAAAATGGCTACCTTTTCCTCTACCCCCCCCACCCCTGTTCTTTATCTATACCTTTTATAGCCTTGCCAGCTCCTGCTCCCTCCATCCACATGACTTCTCTCCACTCTTTCATCTCCTCTTCCTCCCCCACTCTCTCCATCCTTCCCAGCAGACATTTAGCAATTCCCTAAGCTGCGAACTGGGCTGCCTTTCAAGCCTCATTTCAAAACACGTCTCTCTCCCTTCCCCGCTCACCCCTGTTTGCCGATTCAACCCACACTCGGCTTGAGCCGGGCCCTGCTCGCTGCGCGTCGAGAATAAAAGCAGCGGTGCACATTTCAGACTTAAATGTGATTATTCGGCGGCCGCTTTCATCCCCCTTTCTTCCTCTTGTTTCTAGTGCGGCACTCGTAGCCTGTAGTCTTTCGTGGAATCAAGGTGCTCGGAGGGGAAGCAGAGAAGTGAGAAATACTTAAAGAGGAAGTGGGCCAGGTGCTGTTGAGATTTTCTGATAAATGAATCACGGGGTGGAATTGGAGCTGAAGCTGGAACTGCGGGGCTGGAAAGCATTATTTGCTTCAGTCAATCTGTGTTTCTGTCTTTCTCTCCCTGTGACTGAGGCTCGGTAATTGGCTTGCTGCAGGCGTCCCAGAGGTAAGCTGTAGCCAGAAATCGGTATTCACATGAGTAAAGGCTGCAGCCGCTGACTGTTTCTCTCCTGCTCTTTCGCATTCCCTCCATCTCAGACTCCAAATCCCCAAAAGTAATAAAGAAATAGTGCACGGGGATCCTAAATGCATGGGCTAGACTCTTTCCTTTAATGGCATTTTTCTTTTTATGTAAATACATTCCAGCCATATGAAGGTTGTAGCTAAAACATTTGAAGTGAGCTAATACTGTAGTGGTCATGCAATGGATAGAGGTTGCTTTTCCGCTGTTTAAAAGCTGCGCTGTACTGGGCGACCTCTTCATGCACCATACACCAGCTCTATCTGCCAACATCACCCCATGCAGAAGAAAACCCTCAATGACCCTTGAAGACTTCCCATTTTGACACTAATTAAATCCTGGTATCATGTAGAGACGCCAACAAGGAAAGCCTGGACACAGAGTGCACTTATTAACCCCAAAGGGGGAATTGTTGAGCTGTAAACTGTCAGCGAGTGAGCGGCCTGTCCACATAGAGGTCTGCTCTGTGTCCTCTCCTCTCAACACATCACTGGGTACGTGGTTAATGGTGGACTTGCATTTGTATCACGCCTTTACGCTCCATGTCAACATGTAGAGTAACAACCATCACAGAGCAGAGACGGGTGTTAAACTGAGGAACCCTGAGACTCCAAGAAGACGGTGATAAAATATATATATTCTTCCTTCTGCACAACACTGCAACTCATCTGGGAGCAACCGTAAAACAAGCTTTACTAGGTGCGCCTCGACATCTGCAGCTTGCGTGCCAAAAAAAAAACAATCAGCCAACTCCTCTAACGTGTTTATTGGCACTGACAGACAAACTGGCAGCCAACTACCAGATAATAAATATAGAGAAAATAAACATCAAGCACATATTACAGCTAAACCGATGATAGTTATCAGCCGTCGTGGAGCGTTTCTGTAGAGCGGACCCATGTTGTAAATTTTAAATGTCGTTACCTCAATAGATCGTGAATAAAGCAATGTTTCAGATTTATTACAAGCCGTCTAATCGTCAGACTGCTCACGTTTTCCCCCATTTTAGCGATGCCACCGACTTCTCTGATCTCGGCAAATACAGTATTCTCATATAGTGATACAAATGATGGCCAAAACTTAGCTGGTGCACATTTTCACTCCTTTAACCACACTTGCTTTAAAGCTGTAACATCGTAGAAACAACCAAGAATACTAAAGAAGCGGCTCAGTGTCGCCAACTCTTCCTTTTAAAATAAGCTAGCAGCGCACTTCTTTTTATTGTTTTTCTTTTGTTAAAGCATTAGATTTATTGATTGCTGTCGAGATGTAAAGAAAATTTCAACCAATATAACAAAAAGGTTTCTAAAATAAATCACCTCTGTGGTTTAAATAAAGAATAGAATCAAGATAGAACCGGAAAGTAAGATTAACGCTATAATAACATCATTACCGCTGAGTTAGCAACATGATGGTGGAAATATGTTCATTTTCACGCAATAATGCAGAGCAGCCACACAGTCGAGGTGCAGAGACACTGTGCGACTCATAAAGTTTATAAGACGTCGGAGAAAGCATGAGGAGGGACAGAGGAAGGGCATCCCGATGTTCTTGTTGGTGCACCAAAGACTTGTAAAGAAGATTATAAAGATGGACCAAAATATTGAGTTTCTAAAAATAAACTTTGGGGTACAAAGTCTGGCAGTGAATGTTCACAAAGTTACCTGTGGTCGACTGCACTAACTAATACACCATTTACAGTTAATTGGCTGTGGTAGATTGTCCTACTGTGATGTTACCACACAGCTAATAAAGGAAGTGAGGTCATCATCGATAGTTTCGTTCTGTAAGTTACTGTGACACCGACTTACAGGCCAGACTAGCAAAACCATATCGCAATGTTAAGACTCAAAGCTACAGGGTAGCATTTGCCGTTTGAAAAAAATAATAATTCAGTCGTGATTGTTTTCATTCTGATTTTGTTTGCAACATCAAAGCGAGGAGCCGGTGTGGCGTACCAAACCAAACTGTGAGCTGAATGTCTGAGTACACTTGTAATGGCTGTAGCTGTGGCTGCAGAGCTAGCTTCATGTCGTCTCTCCTGTGGGAACATGGGAGGAGCTGACAGAGACTGAAAGGATGCGGAACGAGCCTGAAGGAACATTGTTCCATGAGAAGGGGTCAAACTAAAGGGTTACTGTACATGTAGGCACTTTATGAATGTGACTACATGTACATTATTGTATGATGGAAAGGTAAGCGCTATAACATCAAATGCAAGTGGGTTTATTGGTGTCATGAACATGATGCTGGCTGTGTGACAGACAACCTCATTCTAGACGCGTGGAAAGACTTTTTGATGTTATCGTTACGTAAGAACAATCGAGAGGTCGCCAACAACAAGAAGTAGTGAGTGAGCGAGAGTTGAATTCATATTCTTAGCACAAAGTCCAACACGTTTCCGGTAGCTGCCAGGGGTTGTCCCTTGTCAACGATTCGGTTTGTAATTTTTCGTGGATAGGAAATCAAGGTGCAGCCCGCAGGAGGAGCTGGAAAACATTGCTGGGGAGAGAGAATTCTGAAGTACCATGCTGCAGGTTTTTCTGGCCACTTGAGGGCAGTGGAACGAGCTGAAACCAACAGCATGCTGGTCAAGCAGCGCACAGTGGACACTTTTACTTTCTGCCAAATACAAAGTTGCAAAAAAATAAATAAAAGCTCCCTAGATGCTGGATGATTGTCTGGGTGTTCATCGCCATGAGTGACACATTTGTTATTATACAAAGTGCTTTGATCCTTTTTTTATGTATATAAAAAAAGATATTAATCAGTGCAGCAGCTTCATGCAACATGTTTTGTTGACTATTTTGAACTTGTAGAAAAGTCGTAACTTGAAACAACCGTCGCAAGCCTGGCATGTTGAGTTAAGTGTGAATACTTAACTAACCTAAACTAAGATGCTTTATTGGGTTTACATTTGCACCAGAGAGGAACGTGCCACGTGATCCGACTTCCTCCGAAGCGCACGACTCATTTCTCTCTGTTATTATTGGAGATGGGTGCAGATGGCGTCTCTGCTGGTGCGCTCCGTGGTTTTTCCCTCACCTTTTCTTTTTACCTCAGACACCAATACCGACTGGTGTGTGACACCAAACACCACCTCTTCTGGGCCATCGGCTTCTTCACACCCATTGTGTGCCCAAACCACAGAGCCTCAACTCTTCTAGACGTCACAGTTCAACATCACTAACAGTTTTTACACACCGATATGAAGTATGTATCTTGTGTACATTAACTCAGTGTGGGTTTGTTAAGTGTTTTTGATAAAAAATATTTTTGGGGGTTCTGGACTTATGCTGAATGCACAGTGTCTGAATATTTTATTTTCTGCCTGTATTCATATATACAGTACACGGGTCTCTTTTGCACATTATATATGTAATGTTTGTTGGCTTCATAAGAGTAAGATGTAAGTAAGTAATGTTGTCTTTAGAGATTTTCAACAGAAAAAAAATAACCATCTCTGCCTGTTCTGATTGTCACTGAGCTTTTATATTCCCACAAAAGGAAGAGACTGATTACTGCAGTTTACTGTACCAGGGTCTTGTTGTGGTGACAACAGTTCAGAATAAGCTTCACGTAACAAATAGCAGACAGATCACACACCCGTAACCTGCTGTTTAAACTGTAAATAGTCGTTTCACATTTCAGGTCTTTGGACAGAAACTTAACGTTCGTGACATCCCCTCGAAAAAATCTGATGCTGCAGAATAATAGCCTTTTTTTTTTGCTTCAAAAACAAAAATAATTATCCCTATGATTGAGCTGTATTAAACATCTGTGCACTTTGCTGCTGGACCCCACCAACCACTTCATGCATACTCACTGTCCTTAGGAAGTACAAGTGATTATGATTACAACTGAATGAAGGAAAAGACCATTTCCCGTTTTCATCACTGATTGCAATTATTCCTTCCTAGTTTGAAAAAACACGTTGGAGACATAAGTAAACCCACCAAATTAGAGATCGTATTAAGCGCATTAAGATGCTTTTGGTTTCACTATAAGTACTGTGTTTCCTCTCGAGTATTCAGCAGTGTCGGGAAATCAGAGCAACCTGAACCCAGTGCGACGCAGCTGCTTAATGAACATGAGGATTGATGAAAAATGAGACAAGCAGCTCATAATTATATCATCTTAACACACTGGCACTGAGCCCCCCCGGGCCACTTTGGATGAACATTTTCTGATATTATACTGAAGATGTGCCAAGCACAAAATACACAACTGTACAAAAACATATTGGAGTAAATTAATGAAATGTTCTCCTTTCCTGTACCTTCTTGATCTGCTGATGGCTGTGCAGATTTAATGTGTGTTGTTTGCTTGGGGTGAGCTGGAGCTCGAGGGAGAAGCGTTGCTCGCGGCAGTTATCGAGACTGCAACTAAGGATTCAGCAGCATCCTGTCGGCTCGGTTGGCTGGGCTCTGTATGTTCAAAGTCATCATTAAAATATGTTGGATTCAAGCGCTGCCACAGCCTGAAGGCCTTTTAAGTTACGATGCTCCACTGAGAGTTTTGGGATTCAGTGTGCGAGTGAAAATGGCCCGTGTACTTGCAGCACACTGCAACGCATGGGAGGTAAAGCTGCGCTATCAACAACGGAAGGTTAATAAAACAATACTGATCTGAAAGCACATCGTCGTGAAGGCCTCTGCCTCGTCCCAAATACAAGAGAGACAAAAGACCAAAAAGAAAATGACTGTAACGTATCAATAAATAAATGGATTGCACTTTAAGTTATCCAAATCAAATATGTATAAGGCAACACTGGAATGTGTCTTTAGTTCTTAGTAGGAAGACAGAGCAGGAAAATTGAGATACACAAACTCCTGCCTGGTTTTCACTGTTACACAAGACTGCCACCTGGTGGTAGAAAAAGCCACTGCGCTCTGTGTGTGTTTGAGCATCTTTGACAGAGTTTTGGGAAATGAGGTGGCCATATTGGGAGGATGCAGAGAAGCTTTCACATCCATTTCAATATAAAGTCATCAAAATGAACGCTACGTTTAAAAACAAACAAACCTGAAATGAGTATTTGGGGAGAGTTATGACCTTGAACTATTTGTTAGCAATCCACAGCAAAGTGCAATCCCAACGTTTTTATATACTTGTGCAAAAAGCTGTAAACAAGCCTGCTTTAGACATGTTGGTGCTGTAGGCAGTTTCACTTTGGACAGAGTTGCGCAATTTGATTCCCCCTGATCTAGTCTTAATGATGAGCAACCATATCCTGACTCCCGCTCCGTACTTGATGCACAAACACAACAACAGCATTCATCTTCCTCTTCTTCAATTTTTTTAATTTTATTTACTTTTAATTTATTATACTATATTGATCCCTTTAAGGGGGAAATTTGTCTCTGCATTTGACCCATCCCCGTATATAGGGAGCAGTGGGCTGCCAATGACAGGCGCCCGGGGAGAATCTTACACTCAGAAAGAAAGCAAATGTTTGCTTCCAAAAATTGCAAACTATTCCTTTAATGCTGCCGCTAGAAAGAGAGTTGCATGAACGTTATTGCTATAGATTGCTGGCTGGCTGCTTCTTGTTAATGGCTTGACTGAGCACAATTTTGTACTGGTAATCCATCAGATGCTCTCATTGTTCAACACACTTTGGTAAATATAACATAATTACATCATATGTAATATTGCAAATTGAGGATGGTCTCGCTTAAATGGGCCTAATGTTGCACGAACCAATAAGAAACCTGCCCTATCAGAGTTAAGAACCACAATCAAGTGTTCTATGTCCACTTGTTATCCTGGTATAATCATTGTTGTACTATGGGTCACACCATGTGCAACATGATGATGATGTATGTTGTGTCTGGGAAAACCTGTGTTGTTTGTGTGGCGTGCGTTTCTATTCCCTCACCCAGATCCAGCCTCTGGCACAGTGAGCCCAGCCCCTGCAGCACAGCCAGCTGCAGCTTGTAGGCCAGGGTGTGCGTGTAGACGGGTCCGGCCTTGGCGCTGACTGGAGCCTGCCGCACCAGCGAGGAGCTCAGCTTGGGCAGAACTTCTTTGGACACCCTCCTCCGCAGGAAGTCGCCGCATGTTTCACCCAGCGTGCACAGCACCTGGCGGAGAGACACGTCATGTGAAGTACGTACGCAGCGAGTCGCTATAATGTATGTTCATCCTCTGACTAATTACACTGTATTATCCCCTGGATGAACCATTGTATTTGCCCAAAAGCTGCCACATTGCTGATGAACCATAGCACAGTCTGACAGCAGCCAGCGATGAGTAAATGACAATTTACAAAGCAGTTATGTCAGATTCTGTCAATTCATCAGGGAAAATATGAGAGAAAGATACAAAACCGGTCCAACTAAAGACAGGTTTTGACAAGCAGACTAATCCACAGTGACAGCAGAATCAATTGACACCTGTACTTTGAGAAACGATCAGACACACGTGTGATCTTCATTCATCAGGGAACAAGGTAGAGGGATATTTTCATCCTCTGCGATTCTCTGAAATAATTTGAGAAAGCCAGTTCTGGGACGACAATTTAATGACTTCCCTGTCTTGTTAGTTTAGAATGTTTTGACATTTTCTTTCACAGAATTACAAACAATGACATAGCCTGCCAAAGGACATTAGACAACACTTGTGCCTAAAAGTACAGCTTTGATTGATTCAATATAGGCACATGTCAATATACATGTTATTTGAATTTAGTCAATAATGTAGCCAGACCTGTTCAGCTGCTGCACATGATGTACATAAACATAATGTGCGAAATATAATGTAATACAACATTAAACAGTTACCTAATAAACCTTTTATGTACTTTATCCACACTATCAATCTGCATACGTTTTTAGATGATCGACTGACACATTCAATGAACAATCTTCAGGAAAAGGTGTTTTTACCACTTATCACTACGACGTGAGTAAACGGAAGGACAGACTTGTTTTACGTACCCTGAAGGCTCGGAGGACTGCTAAAGGGTCATCGGCTGTGAGTCTCTGTAGGAGGGCGGGCCAGCAGCGATGGGCCATCGGCAGCAACTCGTTCTCCCTCTCACTCAGCACACACACGCACAGCTCCAGCACGTCCAACACCTGAGGACAAACACATGCAGCACACCCGTTGCTATAGATCTTATGGATACAGACTGGAACAGCAACACGCACATCTGGACAGGTAGCTTTTAGGTGATGTAACACAACATCTGGAAGCCAGAATGGAGGTCAAAACTCCTTAGTAACAATATTTAAGAAATAATGTTTTCTCTACAGTGCAGCTTGCCTGTTTCAGCTGAACTGTGCTGTGGGGGTTAATTTAATCTCTGGATTGATTCATCACTGATACATCACATGTATTTCACCATTGTACTGTCTTGTCGGCCAGGCTCCATGGATCCACATCAGCAATACATATTTTAGCCTCCTAAAAAAAAATCAATATCCTTTTAAGTGTACACTATATTTAGAATATTTTCCGACAAGGAACTGAGCTTAAAGTGAATTTTATCAATACTGTTTTGGCAATGGAGTCTTGTGGCATTGAAGAGAGCATGAATAAGTTTCAGTTCAGCTCTCTGTTGGTAAGAGCTGCCTGACGGCAAGATGAGGCAGGGAAAATATTCTAGATACAGCTCTCACTTCAACGAATGTAGATTGTTTTTAAAGGTGAGCCTTTCTTTTCAGGTGGCAATACGTATTGCTGCTGCCCCCGTCTATAATGAGGTTAAAGTGGTTTCTAGCAAGTATGAACGGAGCTATGTATTATACACTAAATACTGCGTTTTTTGAAACAATATCTCAGTCAGTTTTGTATTAGATCTTTGTGGTAGTATCTTGTGTGGCTGGGGGATTTGTAACACCAACACAAAGCCATCAGTGTAGAGGCAAAACTCTTTCTACAGTATCTATGCACTTAAGAAAGGCTTCCATTACAATAGTGAACAACCCTCACCAGGATTACTATCATCTAAACCAACGTTCCCCTTCACACCGGAGTCACTACCTTGAGTCGGAGCCTGAGACTAGGGTCGGACAGCAGGTGAATGCAGCGCTCCATGACATCTTTAGTGATGCAGAGGTGGGCGGGAAGCTCGGCTTTCACATCAGGACCACCAATATCTTCGACATCCTCACAGTCTGTGGGAGGTGGGTCTTCTGGAGGGACAGTGATGGTCAGATGGATGATGTGTGATTGATCGACTCCGCGAACATCCAATGTTGTTTTTGGCTTTTATATTTCATACTTTATTTCTATTCCCGCGACTGATAAGTTCCATCTAATATGACCTATACAACAATATGAAACCTACACTACAACTACTGTTGTGTCCTCATACAGACACCGCACTGCATTACCAAGGTCTTCGGTGTCATCCTCCTCTATCCCAATGCCCTCTGCCAGCTCTTTCTGTTTGCGGAGATCCAGCAGGAAGTGGCGGATGTCGAGGACTTCCTTGGGAGGGGAGGTGTGTTTGGGTCTGGCAGACTCACTGGTCCTACCACAACTGGAGGGGAACCACCTCGCTAAAGGAAGAAGAACAAGAGCAGGTTGGGTTAGTGACGCAGCGAGGTGTGTGACGCTAAAGCGCGAGTACACATAATCCTTTCCTGTATTTTGTCTTGCACTTCCTCTTAGAGATCCCCTGTAAATGAAGCTCAAATGTTTTGACTATAACTGAACTGAATGTAAGTAAAGCGTGGTATATGGTGTGGTACAGTATGGTATGGGTTTTGTAGTGTCGCATACGCAATGTACTAAATTCATCCTTTTATACTCAGGCCACATGTGATAAATGAGTTGACTTTGGAAACCTCACCCAGTGCCTTCATGAGCGCGTGCAGCACGGAGCAGAAGAGTGCAGCCTTGTGGTCGTAGCTGAGGTCCAGAGCCGTCAGCACATCCTGAACGATGTCCCCGACCAGAGGCAGCAGGCTGCAGTCGGAGTGAGTCAACATCACCGTCAACACCCGCGGAGCCTGGCCAACGAGACAGGAATATGATGAAATACATGCTCGCCGCTAAACCCATGCAGACCCGTTCACAGTGTTCACCTGGGCCATAAACCAGAGGTGTGGACTCGTGACTCGGACTAGAATCAAACTCGAGTCATCAATGTAACGTCTGTAAGCTTGACTTGACAAAAACTTTAACACCAATGACTTGTGACCTCATGTGACTTTAGCCTTTTGACTTGGAATGACTTGTTATGCCTCCGCAAGCCGAAAAGACAAAAAAAAGAAGTTATGAAACACTTTGAATCATTCTGGCAGCAGCCAATCACATTGCGCTAACAAGAGGGAGAGGTGCTCTGGTGGCGAGTGGACTTACATTCCATAGACTAAACAATTAATTAGTCAAACCAAAAAAAGACAAATTGATAATCAATAATTGTCAAGTTGCCGCAACTAACTTTTCCTACATTTTCTTGTTATATTTGTACTTTGAAAGGATAATATCATCTTACTGAAATTCCTGCTCACACCACTTCCTTTCTTAAATGATCTTTAAAATGTTGGCTCTCTTTCCTTAGTTGTTATTTTCCCTCGTTCTCCACTGCTGCCGTGCAGTCTAACAACCCACCAACCGTGACAGTGTTACCTGTGGGTGCTGGCTGAGCCTCTGCAGGTTCAGAGATATGTCATTGAGCAGGTAGTCGGAGTTCTCGTTGATCAGCTCCTTCAGGGAGCGGTAGCCACAGGCCTTACTGATGTCCCACATGGAGCCCAGCGCCGCCTGGCTGACCAGCAGCGTCTCCTCCCCGGCTTTCTCCAGTACGGGATACAGTGATGTCATCAAAATAGGCCTGAAGTCCCGTCCCAGTGCCTGAGCAAAGCAGGCGATGCCCTCGAGCTGGATGCACAGCTGCCAGATGTTGCTGTTGAGCTGGTGGATTGCGGAGGTCGACGGCGAGGGAGAAGGGGTGCCAAACGAGGAGGGGATCACTTGGAGAGAGTTTGCTTTGGTGTTGCTGACATTATTGTTGGATATGGAGAGGAGTCCTGCTGGGCTGAGTAGCTGCAGAAAAACAAAAGACAAATAACATTATACTACCTCATATAGTTCTCTTGAACTATTCAACAGTGTTTTAGTTTATAGACATAAAAAGGTCAATATATAGATGATGATGAACCTTTGCTGATGAAAAAGGATTAAACCAATGCATTATGGTGATAAACAGGGAATGTCTACAAAACAAAGTCCACAGGGTACCTTCATTTGAAAAACACACATCAGATAGCCGAAACAGCAATATCACCACATTCCAACATTGAATACATTATTCAAATATTCACAGACTCTATTGGCTGTTCAAGCCCCCAACTCATAAAAGACTATTTGTTTGACTTTCCTGGACACAATGAACGTAGCTCACATCAGTCATCAGTAACTTGCCGTTTGCCTGCTGCATCAGTACAGACAGCATAAACACTGATGTCAGCATTTGCAGCTAACCGCCTGCAGTTTCTAGTGTTCATATATCTATTCTATAATGCTTTTTTACTAGTTTGATTTGAGGGAGAGCCCCACAGCAGTGGCCAAACCTTCCCTCTAACAAGTGTATATTACTGTGCTTAGTTAGAATCATTTTCATTCGCTGGTGTGCCTCTGGGCACACATTTTAGCTGACAAAGAGAAACTGAAAGTTTATCTCCAAAGAACATAACGATGCCAGTGTTTTCAGGCCTCTGTTGGCCATGACAGTTTAGAGCAGTCGCTTGAATGCTGGAACCCTCTGTTAGGCCTGTTTAGGCATAACTGCACACGGCCATATTTTGAGCAGAATGTGGATGTCTTTGTTTGTTCGGAGTGGAGCGATCTGAACTTAAGTGCAGAAAGAGTTGTGCAGTACGGGCTGAGCATGATTAGAAAACATTCACGGAATACCAAATGAGACTTCTTCATTCAAGGAAGAGTGGGATCGGAGCTGCAGAGGACTGTTAGCTCCACACTCACACCTCCCTCAGCTGTCGTTGGATGCAGGAGCAGGAGGAGGGAGAGATGAAAGGGACACTTTGTAGAATTTCTAGCTACTATGATGCACAATCAGTGAAGTGCGGTTTCATATGACTGGTGTGGCTAGCTTGTCGCCCAAAGTCATTTAAAAGCCATTAAAGAAGCTAAGAATGCTCCAACTTCCTTTGCATTGGGACGATTAAAGTGACGAGAGTGAGATGAGAAGATTAAACCACTCTTATCTCTCTGCGCTAAATATGAAGCTGCAGTTTTTCTTAGCTTAGCATGAAGACTGGAAACAGGAGGAAACAGCTAACCTGGCTCCGCCTAAAGGTTAAAACATCCGCCTGCAGTGACTTCCTGGCCTTCTTGGAGCCTTGTCTTCAGTGCAGACCCCAGCCAGTCACTTGCAGGACCATGTTTTTACATTGAGATTTAGATTTTGGTATGGATTGAACAAAACAAATACAAAGTGTTAGCTAGTGAGCTTTAGAGGGGCTGGTCGCCAGATTTCCTTACCTTTGGACAGAGCCAGGCTAGCTGTGTACCCACTGCTCCTGTTCTTTATGCTAAGCTAAGCTAATCGCCTACAGGCTGTAGTCTCTAACTAATGTTAGATCATATTACAAGTGACAAAGCAACAGGCTACAAGACATCTTCAATGGAAGCCGTGATATGAAGCTACAAACTGACACCCGACACTTGTCGCTGCATGACGGGCTAATGATACATAAAGCTTCAACCAATCACACTTATTCTTCCAGTCATCCAGTTCCCAGTGCTATTTAAGGACAACTACGTCCCGAGTGCTCGAGCGACACTCGGCGGCCTCACCTGCTGGTCCTGTCGGTCTCTCTCCGTCTCCTCACTGACGGTAATCAAGTGCCAGTTGTGCAGGCTGGTGTACTCCTCCATGACGGACATCACTGCCACTGTAAGGTCCTCCTGGCTGGCAGAGTGTCCCCGAACTTCACTCTCCAGACCGTGACCCTCTGTTGCCACGGCGATGCCTGCTGCGCCCCTGACGACCTCATTCAGCACCGTGGCAGCCTGCTTTCTGTACGCGGAGGACTGTTGGTACAGGTCCAGGAAGTGATCGGTCAGCAGGTAAATGTTGCCGTAGTAGCCTGAAGATAGACAGAGGGGAGGAGAGCTGTCACACAAAGTGCTGAATGTAAACCAAGTGGTTCTGTCGCAGATTCAGATCTGACTCACAAAATAGAACAATTAAAATATGATGCATTCTTATTCATTAAGCTTTTCAGCATCTTTGTACACTGTGCTGATAATGCCTCTCTTTCACTTGAAGAAAACATTAGAATGCAGGACTTTCACAGTGCGGTATTATCAGTTGTGCTATTAATCATTAGTTTTAATTATTAATTGTTTACTTCTACCACTGCCAGTCCCAACAAGAGAAAGAGTGATTAGTAAAGCAAGACAATGTTTGCCCAGGACCCACAATCACTAAACCTGTCCCTGAAAACACACGCGCTGGGTTTACTCACAGTCAGAAACATTGATGAAATACAATTAGCAGAGGTGATTTCCAAATCGGCCTATTGGTCGCTTACTTCGAAATGACCACCGCAACTAGTAGAGCATTGATTTAATTAGAAGAGGTATTTTGCTGGCGGTAAAGATAGAAGTTAGTATTGCAAAACACAATTTGAGGGACTGCACAGAGCGCTGTGTGCTTGTTTATTCAGAGTTATTAATATTAAACATGTGGCGTGTCCAAATTGCACCAAATTCAACAAAGCACCTCATGGGGTCCCCATTGATTGGTCAACTAATTGCTCATTTTGGTCTTAGTCGACTTTCTTTAGTCGATTCGTCGTTTTTTATGCTTCTTTTTATGCTGAATGACTTATTTCAGAGAAACAAATAAAAACGCATCTCTGGAAACACCAGATTTAAAGTCTAGTGTTTCAAGAATTTCTTTGCTAGAGAAACGCTCTACCAGCAACACACCAAGTAAGATATGCGGAGAACACACAGACAGACAGACTTCTTGCTTTAGAGTTAGATTGCGTATCATTATCAGCCAGCTGACATTAGTCCACCTGCACTATTCAGAAGTTCTTCATAGTCCTTTTCAATAAATTCGACACAGACATTAAATACCGTTATATATGCAGAAGGATAACAAACGTACTGTACATCATTTGCCTTATGTTCATAAGCACCCGTACCTAATGTTCGACAGATCTCCATGAGCGCAGAGAAGATCTTCTCATCTGTGAAGTAGAGAAAATGCTTCCTCTGTGTGTGAGCAGTGTAGGGATCCGGAGAGCCCGGGCTCGTCTCTATGGTAGCAGCGTGACTCCGTTCCTCCACAATGCGGACGTCCATCACATCCAGCTCCAGCACCTGTAAAGGCATACAAGACAGCAAAAGTCAGACATAAGGGGTCTCATGTAACACTGACAATGCTTGATTTGTATTCCCACAGCAGGTTTGACAACTTTATCTTGGCTGTGTGACGTGAGTTGTATAAAACAAAGACATGACTATTCAAATGCACAATATGTCGCTTTCTGCCGATCGGGGTCTCTCAATCCAAACAATAACAGAAGAGGAAGTTTGGAGACTAAGATCCTCAAAGTGTATCGTAAAAATGGAAAGGGATGTGACGCCACTGACAGGCCAAAGGATGTGACGTCACTGACAGGCCAAATGAAACCGACCATTACCTTGATTAAAATGAATGATTTCTCCAGGTTTGAAAATTGTTGGAAACATCTGGGATAATGTAAGTACACAACTCAACAGAATGCATATGACATAGGTATAGGCCTTTTTAAAGATTTGAATGTGGAAAAGTAATATACCTTTAACTCCACTTGTCAACCACTAAAATGCTTAAACGCTGTATGTTGTAGAGTTGTATTCCATAATAAACATAATTATTAACAATAAAGGTCCTATTGTCTTATATGACCACTCTCATACACTCTTAGTGTACAACATTATATTCAAACTGTATATTTAATCTCTGGTGCAGGTTTAGTACAAAAAACGACATTGTGAGTGTATGCAATACAAGTCATCTACCAAATATACATGCATAAATGTATTGTAAATTTGCGATACTAAACTAGTTTACACAAGAAATAAAGGCCTCAAGCTTCACAGCGGTATACTGGCATCAACGAAGCAGCAGTGTGTGCCAGCGTTAACGGGAGAACACACACTGCTGCTCTGTGGGTTTGTTTTCTCCCTATGCATGTAAACATGTTCTAGTAGAAGCCCCAAATACAAGCAGGAACCTGAAAATGAGCTTCTGTCCCCTTAAACAACAATAATGTTCCTTTCTGATTCCCATTCAAACAGAATACGAAGTATAATCTGACAGATTACCTGCATCAAGGCTTTAGAAATCCTCTCGAGGTGCGCGGACGAGTTTAGCACCACGGAGACCAGCGGTCCCAGGACTTTCAGATAACCCAGGAACACGTTGAGGACAAACAGCTTCTTCTGGTCGTCGGAGGTCCTCATCAGTCTGGGCAGGGAGGTGGCCAAAGAGTGGAGATTCTCTGAAAGCACATCAGTGAAGGTCTGCGCACTGCTGCTGCTGCTGCTGCTTTTACTGGTAATATCACTGTCGCTGCTGCTACGGCTCTGAGTCCTCTGTGATACCTCGCTGAGAACAACTTCACACCTAGAGGAGAGGACGGGACAGGAGAGAAGTTTCATTTAACATCTTCCCATCAAGTAGTCTGGGATTTAGTATCGTCTCCTCACACAAGTGCAAATCAAACCTCTTTCTGACTCTGGGCTCCTCGTCATTGACTGCTCCCACCAGCGCTTCCAGTAGCGGTCCCACACACTCTCCCAGTGACTGGCTACACCTGGCCAGCAGGTGGTCATCCAGCTCCATCATCTCTAGTCGGACCCTCCAGTGCTGGTGAGACGAGGTGCAGGAGATTATCTTCCTCAGGAGCACGGACAGTTTCCCCGCCGTGCTCTTCACCCACGCTGGTGTCCGGTGGACCATCAGCTGTGTGATCCTCCCCAGGTCTGCTGAGGGAGTCTTGCTGGGCTCACCGGCCTGAATCTGGGCGTCTTCCATGACAAGCCCCACAGTCCTGGACCAAACCTGAATGACAACACAAGTGAAAAGAGATGATTGTGCAGTAAGAAGAAATCCTTGCATTACATTTCTACGAGGATACAATCACTGTTTTATAGGTTTTTTGTGCTCTTTTATATGTGGTTAGTTTGCCATCAACTTGCACCTACTGTACAACCTGTTATCCTATCATGTTAGAGTTTTAGGTGGCATAAAGGGTTGAATGCAAATCTATACACAGATCAGTACACTGCATAATGCTCGGCATGATGAGCTTTTGTTTGCATTTTTCTGTGTCCTGGCAGTAATTTGGTGGCAGGACAGTATTCATTTGTTCAAACAAATTCAACTTGATGAAGAAACACACAAAGGTCTAAATCAACCGATACAAGGATGCTTTCTGTAAATGTCAAAAAATTACACTCAATAACATGAATACTGCATTTTGCCTTAAATGTTATATTATGTCAGCGTGGAAAAGCCTCTGAAACCACATACAGTCTATCAAGGGACGCTCACTTTCCACTGCTGTATTATATAATATATAGTATATTTCTAATATATAGTGTGATGATCAACTAAACATTCACTGACAGAAAATTCATCAAAAAAAAAAAATCTATAAATTGTTTTAAATGTACTAATCTAAAACTCCAAACATTCATTTAATGTAGCTTATCAATTTTGCTGATTTTCTCTGGATTGTTATCCGAATATTCAAAATTTTAGACAAAAAACAGCAATTCGAAGACGACACCTTGGGTCCCAGCAACTTGTGATGGACAATTTTGTTCTTATTATTTGATCAATTAACAAGGGAAATAATCAACACATTCATCGATAAAGATTTGGGTTGTTATTAGCGATTATTATTATCTCAGCCAGGAGAATCATGCGATCGCTTGTCTGTGTGTGTCCGTCTGTCCGTGAGTGAGTCTGCAACTCGGTGTCTGTCCACAGCTAATCTCGCATTCTGCTGCAGAAAACTGCATGATACTTTGGGTGGCCAGTTATGTCTGAATGGTCAGGATTTCTGTGCCTAAAGTGCAGGGAAAACATTTTTGCTCACTTTTATTGTTTTGGACGGTGTGTTTGGCAAGCGGTACACACACTGCTTTCTATCTACGCTACTCAGCAGCTACCATTTTTGCGTGAAAATGGACTTAAATAGACAAATAATCGATTACCAAACACTTGCAGATGACGACTGACTAATCTGTTAATGCATTAATCGTTGCAGCTCTAATCCTTTGTCGCAGTTTTAATAATATATAATAGGAATTGTAACAAACTTGTTTTGTAGTAAAATATCCATGAATCCTTGTGTGGAATCCAGTCAAAATACACACAGCGTAATATAAGAATGAACACAAACCTGACAGACGTCAACAGTGACAGAATGAATAACTTGTAACAAGTTATGCAGTAGTTAAAAGATTTGAGGATTGCTTTGCTGTACTGCATCATCCAACACAGAGCTATGTTACCTTGATGGCCATGATTATGACTGCATGGCCTTGTCTCAGATCTCCTGTAATGATCCTGGCTACAGCCACAGTGATGCCAGGTAGGAATGAAGCCATGGTGCCGCCTATCGTGCATCTCTCCTCTGAGGATGGGACCACATGCTCCTGAGTGCAGTCACACTGCAGAGTCAGCGCCTGGAGGCACTTCAACGCTGCTGCCTGTACATCTCGAGATTTCTCCTTCTCTGCTAAGGCCAGCAGCAATGATATGGCAGCTCCCAGCCCGGGCAGCATAACCGGTTCAAAGAGTTTGAAGACTATATCACCGTAAGCAGCATGAAGAAGGGCGTGCAGGCACCTCAACACAGCCGATTTCAGCTCCTCTGACGTGTCTGCAGGTTTCCCAGGATTGGTCGGCGAGCACAGGCAGAGGCAAAGCTCCGAGAGGAGGTCGCGGAGGGTCTCCCAGCTCTGGACACAAGTGTCCTCGAGGACGTGGCTCATGGCCTCAGCTACAGTCTGCACCAGTTTTTCATTCTTGGGCCCGGGGACTTTGAGGACGAAGCGAAGAGGGAAGAGGACGTACTCCTGGAGCTGCTGCAATGTGGCATCATCGACTTCTTTTAACTGGCCGCTCAGCGTCTCCACGTTGGTCACAGTGGGCGCTCGGGTGAGGAGGACACAGGCCGGGCGCAAGTAGGCAAACGCGATCTTGGGATCACTGATCTGAGCCATGATCGAAGGCATGACCGCAGGGGCCACTTTAGTGAAGGGGTGCTGAAGAACTGGGAGATGCAAGAATAAGATAAAGAAAACTTAAGACTTTTCAAGTACTGTAGCAGACAATGAAATTAATGTATTGTTATAGATAAAATGTTTTACATTTTGACTGTGAGATTAAATCTGCAATGGCCACTTGCCATGTTGGCCAGTAATTTTTTATGAGATATTTCAATTATGAGGAGTGATTTTCTTATCAAAAGGTATCATCATTTTTCAACACTGGCTCTGAAAATATTTTTGACCTACCTGCTCTGGACAGGACAACTAAAAACTTAATTGTATTTACAAAAACCGATTGATCAGAGAGCCAATGGTTACGAAAATAAACTGTATCATGTCTGAATGTTGACACTCTGTGGTCATTGTACTCCCCTCTGGCATTTCTTACTAATGAGGTTAAAACTTAAGCTGCTTCATCCCTGCTGCTTCCTAAATGTCAACAAAGTTAAAGGAGGTTGTCCATAGTAATTTACTCAACAGCATGCCAGCATTATTGATTGTGGTCATGCTAGTGTTTTATGTTGTATTGCCCGAGACTCCTCCCTGACATTTTGGAGCTACTGTTAAGTTTGTTGAACCAACCAGTATTGAGCGAGCTACTGTATGTGCAACGCTGTTTTGAGGGCTTAATTATTATTATCAACCAAAGTGTCCCCTGTGAAATTGTATTTAAGATAAGAAGCAGACACATGTGAACACTCTAGCAGCAGAACATCTTACGTTAAAGTTATAGCATCGTTGTAACGTTAAGTTGGCCTAAGTTATCAGCTAGCTAGCTGACAGCATCGAGCATGCTGCTGAAGCTGCACTGCGGGTTTTGGCGTCAACAAACAGGTAGCCTACCTTCACATTGGTAGTATTAAGTGGACCCGCTGTGCAGCAGTAAGTCTATAGAAGAGGTTTCATTTTAAATGGAAAAAATATAACAACAAGCTGATAAAGTTGCTGAACACTAGCTCGAGGTAACGTCATGATTCTGCGTCGAAGGCGCACGTTCGACGTAAAGCAAGCTAAGACTTCCGGGTTTGGAGATTTATCTTCAAAATAAAAGAACATAAGGTTTTACAGTGAAAAAGAAAAACCTTCAGGACTGTAATAAACAATGCTTTCATCGTAGACAAGTGTGAATCCTGCAAGATAAATGAAGAATTGTGAAATTGAATTGAATATTGAAGTAGTGGTGTCACACTCAAATCATAAAACAGAAATCCCAATCGTTTATCACAGAGAATAGGGATTTATTTGTTCAAACAAGCTACCATATGAAATATAGTCTGATGAAAAAGAATTATCGGGAATACCTTCAGACACTAGTTCAACACTAGGACGCTGCATTTGTAACTTTGTACCGTCATTAGAAGTCAGAACCATAGACATATATAAATAAACGTATATGTCTACGGTCAGAGGGTAAGAACCATACAATGTCTGAACACATTTGTTTTATTTTGAAAGAAAAGAGAATTCACAACGCGGATGTACCATTCATATCTTTTCTGTTAGCTTGATACTGGACCGGATACTGTGGTGCTCTACTTGGAGGATTTAGCAATTTCAATTACTTAATTTTTGAACATAGCACATATTTTCATGGCTGTCACTTTTTCCGTCGGTGCAGTGGATGTCAGACCGCGAGGCTAATTACGAAGGTAATGCTCGTGTTATTATAAACAGTTGTTAAAGTTAGCTTAAAGACGGCTAACATTTAGCTAAAACTAGCTCTGATATAAAGCTGGGTTATCTATTCAAAGCTGTGTTAGATATTTTGGCAACGTTGATAGTAGTTACCTAATTACGTTAGATAGGGGTGTTTTATGAATCTTACAGAAAAGCCTCCATAACATACCTTCAGTGTAGGAATGTTAATCGGTATTACAGTAACGTTAAAGCACAGAATTAGTTGGCATTGATTCAGTGGTAACGTAACGTTATTAGCTAAATCACTGATCACAGTCATCTTCTCTTTTACTGTGTCATTCCAAATTCAGTCTGACAATTTATTGAGTCTCTGTTATAAATAGATAGTCACTAAAATATGACTTAAATACGATCCAGGAAAGGATCAATTGTATTCTTGTGTGATGAGAAAGGATAATGGCATTTTGCAGGAGTGCAGCTCGATCAATCTCATCTTTTCATTCTGCTGAAATGTCTTCACTTGATTCCACTTCAAATGAACCATCTATTTTTTCCTCAGGTGTCTTGGAGGCTTGATGCTGTCCATTCCTGTCCTGCCCCGTGCCAAGTGTCAGCATGGAGGAAGAAACCCTTGAGGCGGCCATCAGTGCCTATGGTGCCCAGCTGCAGCAGGTGGAGTCAGTCCTGTCAGCTGGCCTGGATCCTTCCCAGCAGTCGGACCTGCTCAAACTGAAAGACGACCTTTGTCAGCTGATAGAGCTCACAGAGTCCAGCCTGGTGTCTGTCAAAAAGAGTCGGCTTCTGGCCAGCCTCGAGAACGGTGATGGACTGCAGGCGTACATCTCAGAGGCAGCAGCTGGTGCGAACGGTGCGAACGGCGGATTGGACGGTGAGATGGCTGCTTTCTACTCTAAACTCGGGGAGTCATCAGGTAGTAGCTCTGATCCTAGAGATAGAGACAATGGGGAGGAAGGTGGGGTAGAGTATGATGAAGAGGAGGAAGAAGAGGCAGAAGAAGAAGATGCACTCAGTGGTACCAAAGTAAGAGCGCCCTACCGGACAACATGGGGGACACTGGAGTATCACAATGCCATGGTGATGGGGGCAGAACCGTCGGCTGGAGAGGAGGCACAAGTAAGAGTGCTGTACGTCTACCCCACCCAGAAGTCTATGAAGCCCTGTCCTTACTACCTCGAGGACAAATGCCGCTTCCTGGAGAATTGCAGGTAGAGTACCACTGTTTTGTTTTTTACCGTTGCACATGCAAAAGATTGCTGTATGTTAAAACTTGCTTATTTCTGCCTTCTTTGTAGTAGCAAATATCATCCAGCAAGTGTCACCCATTGTCCACATGACGCAGGCTGACCATAGCAACAGAAAACATAAACAGTGCTGTGAAATGTTGTGTTCTTTGCACTTTTTAATTTTAATAATATCATTGTCACCCCGTGTCTCCCTATTGATCTGCTCATTTTTTGGTGACCCATAGCTGTCTAAAGGCTAGCTCTAAGGCTCTTTCACTCAACAGAAAGGAACTGTTTTCTAGTCCAGTATGAGCTCCAATAGCCCATATTGGCTGAATCCCTTAATTACTTAGTGAATACTCCACTTGTTCTCAGTTATGTTTCCCTTTTCCTTTTTTTGAAGGTTTTCCCACGGCGAGGCGGTGTATGTGTCGGAGCTCAGAGAGTTCCTCGAGTTTGACCTCAGTAATCTTGAAGAAGGCTCTTCCTGCTTGGCTCGACACGAGGACGGCATCTGGTACCCCGCCAAAATCAAAGGTATTCCGCTGAGAGGGACAGTTTTTTGACAGTGTATTTTTGAGTAAAAATCGAATCGATTTCTGCAAATTGAGATTACTAAAAAAAAATCTTCAGTAAGCAATCTGAATACCATTGTTCAATTGTGACAAAACAACCAAGACAAAGGATTCCTGTTCAGTTGAATGTTTTGCTCACTAGAATGTGTTCTCTCAATCTAGACATTGATAGTGGTTTCTACACTGTGAAGTTTGACTCAGTGCTGCTGAAAGATGTTGCGCTCGAGGCCGACTGCATTATCCCGCCTTTGAGAGAAGACGACCCGCTCTCCTCTGACTCTGACGACACTGGAGATGGACTTGATATGGCTTTTGCAAAAGGTGTCTATGGATTATGTGTTGCCATACTCCTATCAATCAAAACATGAGCTAGTCTTACAAATCTTGCAAAAGATGAAATGTGACTTTGGTGTATTTTCATAGAATTGTGGAGGCGAATTATAAGCCTCCTCCAGTTAATGGCCTAGTATTCCTTTCTACTTCCCAGTAAAGGTTTTAACATTTGAATTAGTTTGAAAGTTGTTTGACAAAGTAACTGACTGTTTCTACTTTGACTTCCACTTGCTACCCAACAGTTATGGACACTGCTGTAGAATCCACAGACACGGAGAACAGTGCAAACTTTGGTGGCTGGGAGGCACATACCAGAGGCATTGGATCCAAGCTTATGCTCAAAATGGGCTATGAATATGGGAAAGGTAAGTCCAAGTGCACAATAATAACCACATTTTAGGTTCTGAAGTCATAACGTTCTGTTGCGAACAAATCAACACAAGCTCAGTCATCCGCTGCAAATGTTTCAACAGCTTTTGATACACACACACACGCACACACACACACACACACACACACACGCATATATATTAAAGCTGCAAGCGATGAACGAGCTCTCGCACCTTCCCACGTGTTGGGGGAACTGGTGGGACGCCTACTCGACCCGACAGAACAAAACAGGAACTCTACTGAGTGCAGTGATGCCGAGTGTACGACAAAAGCTTCAGGGGTTATGAAAGGGGCGGTGCAAACAGTCACTAATGAACAAGGAACTCTCCTAGCGATTGCTCCCACAAGATTAGGGTCAGATTGGACATTATACGCTGAAGATACAATAACTTCTTGTTTTCATGGCGAAAGGCACGTTTTCGCCACCACGGCAGCAACAACATTTCATCAGGGTACTCGCACTGTTGGCGTAATGACACGTCCGTTTTTATCTTCTTTGTCACATGCAAGCTAAAGCTTTGCAACCAGCATAGTGCCGGCATTGTTTGTCATCCCGTAGCAAGAAGGTTGAGAACC